CAATGCAATTAAGCCTAATTAGCCAAGGCCTTTATTCCTAAACAGTCTCTTCCCAAGGGAGGATTTAACTTTTGGTTTCTAAATTAGCTCAAGGAGCTAAATTGTTCTCATCTGCTTGGCAAAGGAACAGTTTATTTCTACCTTAGTAGGGGATACTTTATGCACTTGGGGGACGAGAGTTGCGCTCCATGAATAGTTTATCCATACGTTAGTCCACAAACCCTTCTGCAAACAGCAGCATGTACGCTTCCATCCGTGACCACTGACTTTCCACCTTGCTGCGTTCAGCGCAGCTCCCTGGAAGTCTCTACATTGCTTCTCCAGATCCTCTCCTTGGCCAGGCCAGGCTGCCCTGTTCTGCTAAAACTTCCAGTAGTGTTGAGATACTCAGAGCTGATAGACCCCAAGGGTCCACGAGGGTTGGACCATCTTAGTCTGTTATTCCTAGAAGCATTTTAAACAAGAGCGGCTTTAGTTCTTTCCAATACAGTAGATATAAACCAACATTCCCAATTATTTTTATGACTTTCCTTTGCTCCCAACTCACATTGCTCCAAAGCTACATTATTTTCAGCAGTTTCACAGAAGGTTCAGCTACTTAATTTGGGGATTGCATGGCTCTAATTCAAAAAGGAATGATGTGGTATCTGTTCATAGAGCAAGAAAATAACCGAAGAAAAACTCAGCTGGAGCCACCAACCCTGGAAGGGGTTGAGCAACCTCTTACTAAACCAAAGTTTCTGGACAGAGACTGTCTGCACTGGAGCAGGATGGGGCCCCAGAGGACCCGGGAAAAATGGGAAGGGGCAGCTAGAATAGTATATTTTCGTTTATCTCATGCCAGGGTGAAAGTTCTCATACCAAAAAGCTGCGCAAGTCTCTGTAACAAAGTAGCAAGAAGCCATTTGTGCTCTGGCATTTTCACTGGAATCAAGACACCAAAACCAAAGAGTGATCTAGGAGAATAGGGTTGATATCTCACCTCTGTCTATGAAGAAATTTTCTGAAGATAACTTGTTTTTCTCAAAGCTGGTATGAAATAGTTAGCTTTTTGTTTCTTGTTCTCTGATTTTATTTTTTTTTTATCCTACAGTAAAAGCCGACACGTTCTTTGGACATCAGCTGCTTTCTGCACATGCAGCATTTCTTTACAGCACACAAACTTTTTATTTTTAAACTCTACCTGCTGCTAGTCTGTGCTAAAGTTAAGTCTTGATAAATCCTTTCATTTTAAACACTAGACTGTGTACAATTTTCATTTAATCCTCTGCCAAAGCTTATTATTATTCCCCTGGCTGCTTTACATACATTTATTTCCCTTTCATCTTTTTAAATTGTGCCTTATTTTTTCTTACAGGGATTTGACTAGAACTTTTTTTTCTTCTCCTATCTCAGGACTCTGAGTTTGTCCCCTCCTGTCCCTTATGCCAGCCAACAGCAGAGCTGAACTCACCGCACATTTACAGCTGCAGACGCTCTACTGCGAACACCCGACTTCTCCTGTACCTTCTTTCCCAGGTGCTCACAAACTTTCACATTTCATTATAGCTGACTCGCTTGGCAGATTTTTAGTTATCCTTCTTTTTATAATGGAGAAACCGAGAAACAGGGGAAGAAAAAAGCCCAAAAAGCTAGTCAAGCAAAATTTCAGTACTAGCAGGTCACCTTAATGCTCTCTGTGTCTTGGAAACCTCCCCTCCACGACATAACTGCATCTATGTGGAAACTCGGTGGCACAGGATCAGCCAGCGCTGACCAAACTGTTTCAGTAGCGTTTCATAGCTCTGCTCTGTCCAGGTCTTTTTTTATTTGAAACCTTCCCATAGAGAAATCACTCTAGCACAATTAGCCAAGAATATATTGCATTGTGATATATAGACCAGGTATTAAAAAAGCTATTTGAGTATTAAAAGAGACTTCAAAGGAGGTGAGATCATGAGAGAATAGGGATATATTGGACCCATATATGTCAGATGATTCAGTTTTACTGCTCTAGGAAGAAAGAGAACTAGCAAAGGACTACCCAACATAATTGGGTCCAGCTGTTAATTAGGATGGTTACAGCATGTAACTTAAAGACCCATGGCCCTTGCAGTGAATTAGACAAATATCCCTAGCTAGGCCAGGGAGTGCGGGGTGGTGTTTGCAGTGACACAAAACAAGAGGACATACGAGTCTGTCTCGTCTGTAGCCTCCATCTTCCAACTGTCAGGCCTAAGGATCAAACTTTGCTCTTGGGCATAAATCCTTTTCCAATTTGGTGAATTACCAACTTTTAAAACTCATGTGGGAAGCTTGCACATCTATAAAGAAGTGAAGTGGGATTGGTGTTGCCTTTTATCTGCTGGGATGTGACACAGTGTTACTGAATAACCCCCGGTTTGGGTTGCGTAGGTTGGCAGTTAGGCTGCCACAACCTCGGTCTGCAGACTCAAAGCAAAAAGCAGGCTCGGCATGGCCCTAGCTGCTGGTGGTAAGGCTGCTAAAGGAATTAATAACTCTTTCTCAAGTTGCATTTTAAAAGAAAGCAGTAACAAATAAGTGTTTTGTTGTCCAGAGAGCAAGCTCGGGATGGAGCAGCACCCATGGGGAGCAGCTGGAGGGGAACCCGCTTTCTGAAACCGTGCACAACTAGCACGCGGGCACCTATTTGCTTACACTGCTCTTATTAGCAAAACTCCGGGCATAGACAGAAGCACCCTTGTGGAATTAAGGGAAGTTAAAACAAAATACTTAAATGCCTTTGGTGATGGGCAGTGGCTGGGCTTGGGGTTTAAAATTAAAATTTTGGACTGAGCTGTTCAATTTTCACTAAGTACCTAAGCCCTTTTTGTCCCAGCCTCAGTCAGTAACAGGCAAAAGCGCTTGGCAAACGTTCTGGGTCTGCCTCTCTGAATTATGGTCAGAACATACATTTTTATATTAAAATACAATACATTATTTCTATATAAAAATAACTGCCTAGTAAATAGCTTGCAGAAAATATGAAGAATGAGACAGATTAAATAAATCTATATAGCGGGTAAAGTGACTTGCATAATATTTGCCATGAGTTAAAAACAAAACCAGTTTAAATGACAAAAGGATATCAGCTGGATTGGAATTTAATTACCCGCTTATGTGTGGGCTGAGATGCAAAGAAACAGAGTGTTTGGTGCGTCTGATTTTGAATGAAGATGTCTGGCCACTGGGTGTCATCCTTGATTCAGATGACAGCCAGAAACTTTTTAGATACAACATAAAACCCGCAACTTCCAGAGCAGTTAAATTCCACTCTATTTGATTGTACAACATACAGCAAATTGCTCTGCATTTAAATCAGCTATAAAATTGTATACTTTGACATAGACAAATTCTCCTTTGTCTCATTGGCTTATTTGGAGACCTGAAATGGCTGGTTGATGCAGAAAAGAAAGAAAAGTAATGCAACCGGGGCATACTAACTGCAAACAATTCAACGAGTGATTATCAAATCTCAGGAAATATGAAATAACTCTGATTAAATAATGCAAAGGGTCCATGCAGGAAGTTTGGAATTATATCCTTAATTGGGCCCCAGGCTGAAAAAGCCTATTTCGTATAGGCAATTTTATTTAAGACATTCAGTATCCAGATTCAGTACACAAGTTAATGACTATGTATGAAGAAGCTGGTTCAGGAAAAACTAATTTAAGCTCTTGCGTACAATAGCAGGCTAGTACCCTCACAGAAGTTTCAAAATTTCATCAAGGAGGAAAAAAGACCCAAGGACCTTGAGTTTTATTCATTCTTCCTATTGCTATTCTGTGATTTCTAACTGGACTACTTTTTTCACTGCTCAGCATCTTCCCACCTCCTCACAACCAGGGTCCAGAGGTTTGACCATAAGAGCAATGCCTGCACCTGGCTAACGGGGAAGCAGGAAAAAGAACTTGCCGGAAGGAATATCCAGATATTCCAAATATTTTGCCAGTGTTCACATATGAGGATCGAATCAGCTCACAACAGGTCATATGTCATCCTAATGAGTCTTCTGTTACGGGTGACTGAGAAGAACTTATCAGTGTTATTTTGTTATCTCCTAGGAGTCTAGACAGTCTGAAACCAGCACATAGTACAGTGAAGCTGCTGATTATAATATTATTTCTCTCTGAAACCTGATTTAATTTGCCTTCTTCAAGCTAAAATAAAAGTGCCAGCAATTTCTCCAAGCATTATAGCCAGAAAGAGGTGTTTACATTTGTCAGTGCATTAAAAGTATTAATCCTACTGTTCTTAATATACATATAGTCAAGTAACATTTTAAATAACAGTTGTTTTTTTTTTTTTAATGCAGCTAACCTCAGTTGATAGTGCAGCTTTTCATGGATTATACAGTCTTCGAGAACACAGATCTCCATGTAATGCTTCCTAGCTTTGCCAGTGGATATAATTTTAATGAAAACATGCCAGTATTAAAGAGCTATTAGACACAGAACTGAAATTGTCTTTGATTTTGATCACTAACCAAAGACTTCAATGATTTAAAAAAAAAAAAAAAAATCCATTTTTGAAGGAAGATGTTAGATATTCTCTTTACATTAAACAGTCTCGTAGGCATGATTTAGGTTACTTGTTTTTAATATTATAAGCATTCTTTTTCATGATTATATTTAGCTTAGAACTGATAGCAGACTTCAAGGAGGAAATGTATTTAAGATGTGAGCACGTACATTAACAATTTGAAAATTAACTAAAATAATATAAAAAAACCCATCTGAGGTAACAAAGTCAGATAACCAAATTATCTGAACTCGTACTACCCTGTGAAATGATGCAATGAGTCAGTAACAAATGTTAGCCTAATGAGGGGTTTTTTTTGAAGCAGGGAATTTCTTCTGCATCTATACATTGATACGCGTGTCCATAGTCTGCTAGCAATCCATACACTTTCTCCCCTTTTAGATAGCAACTCAAAGGGAAGATATTTCCCCATTTTAAACTTCACAGCACCTTTTATTTGGGTATAGAAATATACTTACGCTGGTTTAATACTCTGGGAATGTTTCTCATGAATGTAGGCACCAGCAAGGCCTCCTGCTCCAGAATTTAAATACTGCAAAGAATAAATCAACATGTAAATGTCATGCTCTTATATTTATCTGTCACGTATAGCTTTTCTTCCCTCACCCCACTCTATAAAAGAGACCAATTTTAATATTTCTAGTGCTTTCTAACTGGAGATCTTGCATTTGTCTCAAAGTGCTGATATAGGTAAAAGCAGATATATTTTTTTCGGATCAGTTCTAAAAATATCTTTCTTGGCTTACACATGATATTTGAAGTCTAACAGACAAAAGGCCAGAAAATTGAAGTACAGCTGAAACAGCCTCATGTCATAATACATATGGCAAAGTCATCAAACAATTCATCCGACTGTATCTGTTGATTCTTAATCTCAAGAGAGGTCAAAGGAACTAAAGATACCTTGCTTTATGATCTGAAATCATTTAAGTTTAGGCAAGAATATTGTCTTATTTAGGGACCACTTAAGAAATTCTGTAGCTGCATGACCTTCTGAGTGTGGGAAATAAGAGAAGAGCCTCTGGTACAGAGACCACAGAGCAGGGGGTGCTTCAGAGCACGTGTTTAACCACCACTAACATCCCTCTCACATCCACAAGACCTTGCAGGTCATTGCCACTATTATCTGCTGGAACCTTTCGTAACAAAGCCACCACACAAGTCAGCGTCCATCTCCTCATTGTGGCTGGTTCAAAGATTCAGCCAAGTCTGGATCAACAGTTCAGGTACAGTTCTTATTCACCTGACCTGTTTGCTGACCCATCATATAAGTGACATTATGGAAAACAGTCTCAGATAATGAATCTATGTTACCTTGTAGGAGCACCAGCAGGCAAAATCTACTCCCCAGTCATGCAAATGAAGCTCTACATTCCCAACAGCATGAGCCAGGTCAAATCCAACAAAGCAACCCTGCGGGAAAGAGATAATTAATATACTACTTATCAAGCTAATCGTCACTATGAAATTATTTTGAAAAAACATCTTTAGAGCTTTACTTGCTCTCTATATAGGCATGATATCAGGTCCCATCTGTTTTGAGTTATTACTAGAAACAAGTTTTCTATGCCACAGATACATGTAGAAATCAGGAATTGTTTTGTGGGTTTGTCTTCAAGGACACTTGGATATGGTTTAGTTTCCTACATTTTTTCTCACGCAGTAAAGTGGGATCACTTGAAATAAGTATTCAGAACGAATGCATAATTTCAAACTGTTGTATGGCATGACAAGCTCTAGGCAGAGACAAAATAGTCACGTACACAATGACACCAGTCCCTCACGAACAATTCCATTCCACTATATCCTTATACATAAGATCTCCCTGATATTTAAACTACGAGGATCTTGCTCTTTGGGAACTCAGATGGGTGAGCTAACAGCCTATGCAAAACATTGACCTTTAAAGACTTTTGTACTTGTCTGTAAAAATTTATAAAAGCATCTTGTCATTTCTCTGAAAAGCATTGTATTTGTCATAGCCACAATTCGCATAGGGTACTGGAGGGGGGAACATAAGGACCACAGACATACAGATTAAAAAATAGCAGTTTTACACACAAAATAACCACTGGATGGCAGCATTTTTAAACGAAAAAGTTCTTCCAAGGCTTGCTATTTATTTAAGCGCAGCGAACTAAAGCTGCCTTTTGTGCCTGGACTACAAACTAAATGCTATTTTGCATTTTGCTTTTAAAACACAAGCAGCCCGTTTGCAAACAGCGTGGTAGGAATTAGAGCGAGAGCACAGGCTTCAGAAAAATCAACGTCCAGTAATAAAACAAAGGGCTTTTTTTAAGAATCTCTTGCGGTTACTTGCACGGAGGGAGCCTTAGCTAAATTATTTAAATGGTACTTTGGTATATTTAATCTTCTGTATAAACTACATACCAATTTGAATGAAGCAGCATTTTAAGAAGATGTGGCACACTAATTCTAATGGCAGCGTTAGTGAAGTTATCAGCTTGAGAAGTCGCTCCAAGACGGTGGGAAGGAAACTCGCTGCCGTAGCATTTGCACAATCTGAATATTTGCTCTTAAACAGAACCAAGGTTCCAATAAATAGCCTAGCCTTCACACCCTTGGTGGCTTGTCTTCACAGGGACACTCAGAAATGTGTTAAGACAAATCAACTGCAATGGTGAAGCTAATGCAGAGATGCTGAAGCACACTGGGTGCCCATGGGAACGCTTTCTTTCAGAGATAAAATGGCCTTGGTTCAGAGAAATAAGCTACAGCAAACTAAAGCAAATCTGTTCTTGAACAAGAAGGTTTTCATAGGGTTTTAAGGCATTAACTTCAAAACTTCAGTTGACTGGATTTAAACATTTACAAGTATCCCTTTGTACATATGTCCCACACAAACTTTTTTTGAAGAAGCGTTAGGAGAGGTTCATTGGTTGCAGTGGCAACCAGGGATACCACGGTACGCTGAGAGTCTTGCAGAAGGTACGAGTCTGGCTGTACATTAACAAAACTAAAACAAACAAACAAACACCACTTACTAAAAAAAGCCTGTAAGAAATTTAATTCCATGGTAAGTCTTGTGTTAAAATCAGTTGTCCTTTCCCTGTCCCTTATCACAGAGTGATAAAGTCTATAAAAAAATATGTTCAAGCACAAGATGATAAATTATGAAAAGACAGCAGGTAGGACAAGACTCCTTAGGACACCAGCAGGCTGGATGCCCTTGTAGTCACAGTCGTGTAACGAAGCTCTATAGCCATATCTGTACCTGTAAGCTCAAAGGCACAGCCTTCCTTGGGCACTGGCACCGGCTGGAATAGCTCAGCTTGCACCCTCACTGCGGGCTCGTAGCCTGCAAACAGGACAGCCACAGCCATGCCACCCACGGGTCATCTTCCTGAACTGCTTTAACTGCTCCCCAGTGCTTTGAAATTGGTTGGCCAAGCCTACGGTGCACTGTTGAACTTACTAATGAGGCACAGCCTGAAAATCTGGGTCCCGTGCTGGCCGGTTTCCTGCATCATCTGGGAAACACTCCCTCGTACAGTTTTGTTCAAGTCCTCATCTGCAAGATGGGTGGTGCTGGTTTGCTTTGCCGGGGGAGGCGTCTGGCACTCGAGTCGCGCAAACAGCAAATGTTTAGCCACACAGATTGCATGGAGGGGGAGGGGAGGGAAAGTAAAACAAACTGAAACAGCTCTCCCTGCACAAGACACGCAGAACAAGGACTGCGTGGGAACATCGCTTCCCCAGACTAGGGGGAAAACAGAGCTCTCCATCTGCTCTGGGTGAGGAAGAGGACATGTGCTCTCCCCTGCCTCTTCCGTTTTATTCTAACATCTAAAAGTCATTTCTGCAAAGTGTCTGGGTAGCTGCTGATAACCAGCAGGTAACAACTCAGCATGGACAATGACATTTGGAGAGAGGGAGAGAAATGACAGCTTCACACCAGCAAAGCTGGGACATTTAGAAAGAGAGACAGGAAAAGAAATGAAGATGAAGGATCTTAAAGCTCTTCCTACTGGGACTCAAGAGATTAAAATACTTTACATACGGTACAGAATCAGTGGAAAGTACAATATAAGTTATGAAATGAAAATTGTATCTGAAAGCTAGAGCCTCCTAAAAGTCACCCATTTCTTCGCTTGTAGAATAATAAAACGACTCAACCCCCTCCATCCTCTAGAGCAAGCTCAAAAGTATGAAACAAGGAAAACTGTTACATCCCCTTCAGCCTGCTGATGAGTCTCTTGCACAATACGTAGTAATTTTGATTTATCTGAGAGACCTAAGATGGAAAAATAGCCTGAGGTAATTTTTCAAGCTTAATTTAGTTCATTTAATATTTAATGACTTAATGAAGCTGTCTATGTGCAGAGCTTTCACTCTGGGAAAAATCTTAACGTACATAGAGAACTTAGGAAATTGGCTTAAGAAATGTAAAAGCAAATCAGTAACTTAATTCATAAATGATTGACCTCAAGAATCCTAGGACATTTTCCAGACCCCCTGAGCTTTCAGCTCAAACCTCTAGCCAAGCCCTGATAGGGCAAAACACTGCAGGATTTTATTTCAATTGTACATTAAGAGAATTATTAAGACCATCTGTGTAGGACTTTTCTCTCTGCTGAACTGACTGACAAGAGATTTCCCTCGCCCCCCTCCCCTCCCTCCTCTTCTCAGATGACACTTCCACCTTGTATTTCCCCCTTCTGACTTTCTGGCTTGTCGGCTCTCCTCAACCTATTTTCTGTTCAGGAGCATGGGGTCATTCATTACCCTTCATCTCCAGAAAGGGGAGCCTCGCATTTTTGCTATGAACGTGACTTCTTTTAATGTACATTTTAATATACATTTTAAAGGACTTCCAGCCTTTCTGTGATAATATGTCATGTATAAGACTATAGTTATAACCACTGCTGGTTTAATCAGATCCAGAAGCTCTTGAAGGAGGTATGGTCTTTACGTCTACACAAGCCTGAAAGCTTGTCAGCCTGGGGACAGGGACTGGTTGGATGTCACCATACAGGAATTAAGCCCATACACTTTACGTAGATGATAATGACTGTTTCAGCAGTTGGTTTTTTGTTCTCCTTTAACCCAGCAGCAGCTCCTAATATCAGCTCTGACCTGGGAAAGAGAAGAGGACTTGGTTGCTTTTAAAGATGCAACATTTGGGGCTTTTTGGTAACCAGAAGCCCTGAGACTCAGAGAAGCAGCAGAATACAGAACTACCACTCACCACTGTTAAGACTGCAAACTCTTCATGAATCGCTGATTTCGTAGCTGTTCAAGTAAATATTTGCCACATGCAGATGTTTAAGTGTGGTGTAACAGTATGTTACATAGTGGTTTTGTATAAATATATAAACATCACTTAACCCAGGGGGCAGAATGCATAAGGACATTGAGCTGAGTGTATCTGACAGTAGGAAAATAAATAAATAGAAAGAAATAAAAGGGCTGGCTCATCCTTTTCAAGCCTTAGGAGCACTTAAACAGTTCTTCAGGCTGAATTACTTTTTTTTTTTTTTTTAAATCCACTAATGACATTTTAGATCATGAATCTGCCTGGATCCCAGTCTTACTCCCTCTAGCCACAGAGGCTGGGATTTTTTTTTTTTTTTCTCTTTTGAAAAAAAATCTCTGGAAGAAGAGATTCACTTCTACATTACGGCATTTTAATAGGTGGAAATGGGCCTTTGCCATCTATCTGTGCCTGCTGGAGCACTGAGCTGCTGTCAGAAATTGCTCTTCAGTAACATGATCCAGCCTCTGTATAAAGTGCGCGGTGGTTTTGTGTATATCCGTGTGTAAGTACATACCCCCGAGTTCATATTATTATTTCTGCTGCCTTATAGAAATTTTAAGCTCTCTCCACCAAGTCCTGGTTACGTCCTCAGATAATATAAACATCAAATCCATTTTTGCTCCATAGAAAAAGCTGCCAGTGCCTACTCTTCCCCACAGCGCAGGTTCTCAGCTGCTTTGGGGTAGTTTACAGCTTTCAGTGAAACTGCATCACTCCCACTCATCCAAGCATGCGTCCCACAGTCCAGAGTGTCTTAATGGCAGTGAAATGATAGGCTTTTCTCAGGTTGCTCATATTTACAGTAGAGAAGCAAGATTTCTCTCTCTGACACCTTTCAGACACATCACAGCGCAGATTTCGGGGAAGCAGCACTGTAGGCACGTAGGCGTTGGCGGCTGAACGAAGGCTTTGCTGCCACCAGGCGCGAGAGCGAGCGGAGCAGTGGGTGGCATCGTCCTATTAATACCCCGTCTTCCCTTTTCAAACACTTCAGCATAGCCTGCGGAGTATTTGCGGTCAGCAAAGCACTGGAAGACCCTCAAGGAAGGCACCATGCAGGTGTTGCTTTTAGAGCTCCATGGAGCTGTAACACACAGCCCCACTTCCCCCAGCAGCTGACTCCCCCCTATTTTTTTTCTTCCCCAGCTTTCTGCAGCCTTGTCAGAAGTCGGTCTTGTTTTGCACTGCATTCAGGACCAATTTTCTCGCCAGGTGCTGGTCTGTGAGAACATTCCCCTTTTTATATCCCACGGGCCCTGCACGAGCTGCTGCACCTGCTGTGCTCTCCCAGGGGAGACTTTACCATCGCTTTCCAGAAGCATAACTTACTGCCTGACCTCCAGAAAAATTTCTACTGCCAAACCTACAGCAACAGGAGATGTATAGCCAGGATGTGAGCCAGGAACGTCTCCAGAGAGTTAAAATATCAAATATAAATAGTTAGCTGGTTTGTCAAAATCCAGTGATACTAAATAAGTTTATCCTTGAGTGGTTTAATCTTGCATGAGATAAGGTACATCCAGTAGGAGACTGCCCCTACGGAAAGTCTAGTGACCTCCTGTTGATAAGACAACTTAATTAAAAACTATTTTCTCCTGGATTCCTGAGGCAAATGAGATGGTCAAAGAAGTTTTACAACTACATCCAGAGAGCACGCTGCCTGCAAGCTCTGAAGGCTGAGTCCTCACTAAAATACACTCCTCTTATGGCGTTGTGGCATCTTGTGGCACGCCTATCTCCAAAAAACCTGGTCAGCTGGGTCGGAACACTGCTGGCTCCATGAGGAGCTCACCTCTCTGCTCATTAGGGGCAAAAACTGCCACTGCGTGGCTGTGGGAAAGGAGGAAAATGGTGAAAGTCTGCCAAAAAATAAAGAACTAATGCAAACTAACTTTTACAGAGTGGTTAGAGCTGTGATTACCTCCTCCTCCTTCTCCACTGAACCTCTTGAAATTCTGTCTTTCAAGAAAAGCCCTGTAGAAGTTAATAGTCATGAATTATCTCTCCATATAGGTTAAGTCACACCTGCAAGATTGCTCTCGCAAGGCTATTTCTTCATGCAGCACATGGCCCCCAAAGGATCTCAGCACAGAACACTTTTTTTTTTTTTATCAGAGCCCACAGGTTTCCACACGTGCTCTGTTTTGTTCCACAAAAAGTAGAAATTAAAAATATTTCACAGGGAAAATTGATGGAAAATTGGTGTTAAAAGGATGGGTCTGGAGCAATCCTACCTTTTCTTGGCCAGCTTTTGTTATTCTATGGATGTCAAACAACTGTCCAGTGTAGTACTGCACCCCACTGAACAGAATGACAGCAATAGAGTCCCCTTCCTTCTCAATTACAGCAAGGATATCTTCAATCCTCAAGGTGTCCTCCCCCTAAAACAAAGTTAAAGCACACATTTTACATCAACTCTGGCAGTAATGAAACTGTCATTTCTTATTTCATAATCTATATTTTACCATGAGCTGTGCTGCTTGCATAAGGAGATCAAAAGCAAATCCTTAGCACGGTAATGATATACAAAAGTAGTGCTATGAAGTAGCCTATGAGTAAGTTACCTCAAAAAAAAAAAAAATCGTTAGCAAACTTATCTTGAAAGTGCCAGTTATAAAAAGTCTATTCACTTCATAGTCTAGCATGCTTCATGCTCTTTAATATTGCAGACAGTTTTAATTTACAGTAAAAAAAATCCTGGTGCAAACAGCATATATAATGGGGTTTATGTGGCATCGGAAATTCGTGACACCCACAAGACTTGAAAGTTGTCTATCAGTTTCACTCTGCATTTTTCTGATAAACTTCATATCCCACAGGAAGCTATTATAAACCTGCCATATTTATATTTCAAAACCAGTAAGTCTCACAACATCAAAAGTACAAAAATTCCCAAACCTGGGGTCATTAAATAGAGAGGAATTTTAACAAAAAGAAAAAAACAAGCCACCTCATTCTCGATTCTTTACAGGAAAATTACTGCCCCATCCTCCTCCCATCTTCCTAGCAAGGGATCATGTAAAACATACCACCACCTAGGGATCAATTAGATAGTGAAAACCTAGAATTAAATTAGACTTGTTACTGAGAAGAGCTTGGGCAAGATTGTTGAATTGCAAGCGACTGTTATTATCTCAACAATCTTTGCAAATCTATCAAGCATTCAGGAGTGGGCTCTTTACTCACAAGATGACTCAGATTTCAGAAGCAAAAGGTCACCATCAGTTTATAGTTAGGTGGCAAAGTTCTTAATACCATAAAAGTGAAGCAAGGCAGTCTTTCAAATTAATCTTAATTGCATATTACTCAAAGCAGACCTTTCCTGTGCTGACACGCAGGCTGCTGTTGTTCATGTTATGGCAATCTTTTACCTTAGGACATTAAAAGGACATTGGGGTTTCTCAATGAGCTATTATATTTTGCAGTTCTTTCAGGATGCTGTCAGGTTTTGCAAGCAGGCAAAATAGGGAAAATAACATTTTTTTTGTTCAGCAAGGCAAAAGCACTAGTTGAACCAGGCAATTATAAAATGGGTTCTAATAGCAAAAAAATATACACAGAAACAGAATACATGATTCATAGATTTTACCTAAAAGCGTTAGTAGGAATAGATTATAACTTCTGCAGGCAGACACTAGAATATCTGAGAATGTATGATTGCTCTCCTATGAAATATGCTTCTGCCCTTAGCAACAGCAAGCAGAAGGGATGTATTTCTCACCAACCTCCCGTGGCTGTATCACGAGCATGCATTTCTCCACATCAAGTCCATGAAGTCGAAGTTGGGACTCAACAGCGTACTGGAAGAGATTTCCATGCAGAACATGTTAGCGCAATTACATGATAAAACAACTAAAAGAAAAACACACCAGAACTTCAGAAAATGGATTCAGATGCCTGCCTTTCAGTAAAATTAACACTTGAAAGCCTAATCCAACTCACTGAAAGCTTTCTAGATTTCCTTTGGTTTGAGAAAGATCAGAATTTAATTCACAGCATCAGATGGCAAGGATAAAGTCAAAGCCTAAATCCGACCAGATAAATTCATGGAGCAGAACGAGGCTAGAAATGTGGTGGAGGATGTGCTTTATCAGATTCCAGCAAGCTAAGCCTGCATGGGTAACAGCCATGGAGAAGACTGACCATCACCTGTCCAGGGGCCCCGGGTACCCCCCTTTGCTTGGCAGCACATGCTAAATCCCAGGCTGTCACACACATGCTGCTGGCCAGGAACAAAACCTTTGGCCAGCACATGTATGCTGTCCCATGCTATTCTCACATCTTAGATTTGGCTCCACAGCTGGGAGGAAATGAGAGCTCTCAATTCTCAGGCTATTTTGAAAATCTTACCCACTGATTTTATCAATAAATAACGGTTCTGGAGATGACATAAAAATCATCGAATAATACTATAAAACAGTAAAATTACATGAGAGGAACTGAAGTGATGGCAGTGGCTCAGGTTATTACTGAAGTGCTGCAGAAATTTAAGTAGATGGATTCCAAATGTGCAAGTGTGCCTGGAACAGACATGGGATTAGTATGACCGTTACTTAGAATAAAGGTAATTTGAGGTTTATACACATCTGTGCCACCATCTTCATTACAAATAAACCTGTTAGTAGCTTGAGTCATTTTTATCGCACCTTAGAGATGGAATTTGTTATCAATTTCCATGAGTTTATGGAGTTGATGATAAAGTAGCAGTGGGCCACAAACCCAAAGATTAATTTGCTCTAAGCTGTGATACACAGGATATTGTCTTCTGTTTTATAGCAGACAAATTATGTTTGAACTAGTAATCTGAAGTGCTAAGAACAAACATTTCCATCTCTGTCTGGGGATATATAGGTTTTAATGTTGTGAGTTTGTATTGATTTGGTTTCATAAAGTAAAACAGCAACAAGAATTAATAAAACATTTACAACTTCAGTTGATTTAGGCCAGTATTTTGCTCAATGTCTTTAAAAAGACTAATAAATCAATGTACCCATTCAATCTTTTCCTCTTGTAACATTTTTTATTTGAACAAAAGGAATAAAGCCACGATCTGTAAAACATGCTGAGCTCAAAAGCTTCTGACAGATTTTTTTATTGTAATGTTACTTGGACAAGATGAGCTAATAAATATTCAAATCAGGCTACTGATATTCTTTGGAAAAATACGATTAATAATACAAATATGGTGAAATATTAATTTCTTACATGGTCAGAGGGAAAGGCTCTGGCTTCTAGAAGAATTTTATAGCGTCTTGGAGTAGGCTTAAAGAAAGATAGCTGTTAAGAACAAAAAAACCAAAAAGTTATGTTGAAATGTATCTAAGCAGAGATGAGAGAGATGCTCCCAGTATATAACTTAATAAAGACTGCTTTACTTTCATGCAGACTACAGAGAATCCCCAGAAGTTACAAACATTTCTTTGTCCATATAACATTTATCAAAGTAGGAAAGCATTATAACACTGTATTTCAAATATCCATAACAAAGGCCACAAAAATCCAGCAGCGAAAACTTGCACTTACAGGAATTGATGGCAAAGCTTTAACTGAGGCCAGGGAAGCGGGGATTTCACCATTCCTGCCCTAAAATATCCATTATTAAATCATCCCCTCCTTCGAAACAAGCCTTACCAAAGGACTAGGCCTTCTGCAAAGACCTCGTCTTGACACCTTTAGGTAAATGGCCTTTCCTTCTCAGCTCTTTCCATGGAGGCAAGGTCAGCTTGCCACCATGCTGAGAGGACTAGGAGAAGGCTTACAAGCCCTCCCGTTCATGCTAGGAGTGGTTATGCAGAGCTCAGCACAGGCTGTGTACCCGAGCAGTTTGGCATGAGTCTGGCTGTGTTGCACCTGATGGCTTGTGCTTAGCCCCATCCTTCCCTGCTTTGGGTTTCTTAATTTAACAGAAGGCAGAGAAACATGTTACAGAGGAGTGGATCCAACTGAAAAATCTTTTTTTTGTGTGAATCACACAAAATTAATCTTCATATCTTCATTCAGCTGAATGAAATCTTTGGTAATACTAGAGAACCAGAGACAGGCTGTATGCAACAGCAGAGAGACATGCTCATAAGGAAATCACATCTATGGCTACCTCATCATAAAAATCAAAATCAGCTGCTTTATCATATTTTAGGGGATATATAAACCAGAGTAACTCAAAATGCCATCTCTTGTATGAAACTGCATTTTAAGCTTGGCTGAAATTACAGTTTTGTCTGGCTCACAGTTGAACTCTCGCTTCTTAAACACCGAAATTTGGTATGAAATTCAAATTTGAGAAGTTGTTTGTAAATGTCTCTTAAATAATAAGATCCCCTCTCTGAGGACTGACATGCAGCATATGTGAGAACAGCTCAAACTTCCCCTACAGAGTCCTTGGAAATATTTCTCTGTCCAGCTTTTCTGCTTAATATTAAGTGGAGCCAAGTCTTACACAAGCCAAAGAATCATTCAAGATACAATTCCCAAGGCTTAAGAAAAGTTAGGCTGTCTTTGTGGGGTCCTCAGAAAACTCTTTGCTTATATTCACAAAGAAAGGAAAAAAATATTTGTCAACACAACATCAAATAGACGTCATAAAGACATACCATCAGGAGGTGCAAGTTAACAGTTAGGCCATTCATTAGGGCTACTTCATGTCTTTGGGCCCCTGTAATAGCAAAAAAAAAACGGGTTAGGAGGGTTCTTTATAATTTCGGAGAAATCTAGTATAGTGTTGAGAAAGCAAAAGTATGTTTTCAGTCAATGTCTCTCTAAAGACTGGAAAGTAAACAAACATTTGAGGTGTCATCACAGCGAAGTAAAAAGATTTCTTGTCTGACTCACTACACCACACTGGCAGGAAAATATTTATTTTTTCAGGTCAGCCACAGAAAAGAAAAAACAATGAAGTATTTCCATTTCCTGGCAAACCACCGGTGGATTTATTATCATCAATGCCTCAGACAAAAATCAGGTCAGAAGACACCACGTGAAGCAAGACTTGCAGGCTTATTTTTGTCATCATTTTATATGTAAAGCAAGTCACAACCGCTATTGGAAGCGGTTATTGTAACGTCAAGCTAAATCTCATCCCCAATAAAAAAACCTCAAGCAAAATTGGCCTATTGAATATAACAGACCATTATTAAATGTAGAAACTTAGCAAAAAGCAGCCATGCCCACATAGTTCCAAGGAGGCTAATAACTGATGCTTTTTGGCTTCAGCTAATCATGGGCAGAGCTAAAGGAGTAACAACTAATTGTTATTACCAAGCATTTAGTAACAAATTCGCAAACCCTTATCAACCACTGGTGAGAGGTTTTAGGCAGGACAAGGGACTGTGTGTTGGGCAGGGTGTCACTGAGTTATGGAGAAAATAAATTCTGTTTCTTTCAGTTTTGGCTGACGTCTGTTGTTGAAAAGCAGTACTTCACCCTTGACAGAAGTCAGTGCTTTGAGAGCCATCTTCAGCTGGAAGATGGGTTCACGTGCCTTGCCCCAGTCATCACCCCAGAAGTGGAATTGGCCAAAGGTGGAACAAGGTTGCAGACAGGGAGGGATGAAGACAAGCGTAAGCAGGCAGGGAGGGCAACAGCCACCCTTGAGATCAATAAAGAGGAAAGGAAAATATGATGTTGGGGTAAAAAGAATAAGGGGAGCCATAAGAAATGGGGAACTGAATCCTGGCTTTCTCCTGTCCCTGCCTTGGAGGGCACACAAGGTCCCAACCAATATGGGGGAAAGGCAGCAAGAGCACCGAGACACTCCCACCATATCCCACAGAGTTTAGGTTCATGGAGTTATTACTTTGCCAGCCTAGGAAAAAGACGTAACCGTGGGTTGAACTCAATACAAGCAAATACAACCAAAGAACATGGAAAACTATAATTAGGAAGGGCTTATTCATAATTCCTTGCCAAGCAGGCCTTAGCTTCTGCCACCACAGGAAAAGCTGAGAACCATTCTGACTCAGATATTCAAGGACCTTTCTTTATGTTACTGAAATCTCCATGTATTAGACAGAAAGATTTGTCAATAGTGGTCAGTGACTCCAGAGGATCTGTCCAGGGGATGAGCCAAGAGAAAAAAAGAGATGTCATGAATAAGTTCCCTCCTTCAGACACCAGGAACACCATCAAATTTGTGGGAAGAAATATAAGTAGACCTAGTTCTTCGCAGGGAAAAATTAGCTCTTTTCCTCACTTAAACTCCTCTCCTTTGCTTTCTTTTCTTCCCTCTGATAGCATTGCATCTTCAGGCTCCATGCTGCTGGAAGAGGTCACCTTGTGGCTGTTCTCTTGCAGATACAGAAGACAGCTAGAGAGAGTGATTGCAGCTCAAAACAGTATTATTTGCAGTCTTAATATTTCTATGGAACTCTTGAGGCTGCAAAAAGGAATAGCATCAAGAAATGGTATTGTTCTTATTTCTCCCTCTGCTCCTTCCAGGAAATCTGTGGCTTTCACAGCAAATTCTGCATGAGCAATCCTCTGCCTGCTGTACCCTTTCCGTATAAAACAAATGGTTAATCTGTAGATCACTTTTAGCTGCATGCTAGCATCCCAAATTAAATATGACACTACATTTGTCATGTAAGTCTTGGTCTTCTGTAAATTATATATTTATTAAAAGCTTTCCATTATTGAATTTCATGCCCACAAAACAAACCTCATCCGTGTCATTGGAAAACTGTTATCCTTTATAACCTGCACTGCGTTTCAGAAAACAACCTTTCTATGATCCAATTAACCTATTACAATATTCAAAGACCCGGCACACAGGAGATAAAATTATGTTTGCTTTCTTTATTTCCTAACTTTATACCATATCTCCAAGACAGGCTAAAACCTGTATGTTCTGCTTGATAAATTTCCTCTTTAATAAAAGGAAGCAGCATTTGCAAAGTACAACTTCAGAGACAATTATGATTGCGTTAGGCAGACACTGCCATCCTTCTCTGACTGCAGTGGGAGCCTGATCCTCACCAGAGTAAGTGAAAAGCATTTTGTAAAATGATTGAAAAAAAGGCTAAGGGCCCCAATTCTGAACAGAGTTTGGTTATTTCAAATCATCCTTATCACTCAAAGTCACTACAAATCTGCTCAGCGTTCAGTCTTCCCTCAACAGAGACCTGCCTGAGCGCGTTGTACAGCAGCAGCCACACAGTTAATCTTGTTCCATCAGAAGGTGATCCTGCCAAGGTTGTAATGTTTTAATAAAGGCTGGCAGGAGAAGCCAAGATTACCGCCACCACGTTATGCCACTCGGCGTGAGCATAGGAGAAAAAAAAAAAAGCTTTGGCCTCCACTGACCTTGACTCTGCATTTCACAATGTATTTACTACTGTAACTTTCATTGAACAAGAAAATGTGACCGCATTTAATAAGCAAGGTGTTACAGCACTATAAACCATTAAATGGACAAAGATATTTTATGATCTTTAGTCCACTCCTAAATAAATCTCACCAAATAATTTTTACTTACTTCTACTTAGAGTGAGAAATGACAGTTCCTCCTCCCCCATAACATATTAAATATTGAATAAAAAACAGGGTAAAATTCTGTTTATGTTCTTACATTAAATTCACTAAAAAAGGAAATTCAGAATTCACTCAACTCAGTATAACACCTTGCTGGAAAACAGTACTTAATAGAGACCATTTTAACATAACATTTTTCCTGCATTTATTCTCTTAACCATTTCACTATTACTGCCCATTTTAAAGAACAGATTTTATTACAATGCATCCATTATTTGGGAAATATTAATTCATTTGCATTCTAAGAATCACTCACCTAGGTCCTGAAAAAAGCTATGAGGATATTTTATAAATAAAACCCTGCTGGCATGTGAATCTGAGGGCCAGATTTGAACCCAAACCACTTTTTATAGTTCAATTAAACAAAGTCCAAAAAATCTGGAGAACAAAATCCAAACTGATAATGTTGACATGCCCTTCACTGCTGAGGAAAACAAGACTATGAAACCCTTCCCAACAAAGAAATTTGAAAACAAAAGTAGGTTAATGGTAAGGTGACCTCAGCCATCATAATTTTTTAATAGAAAACTTTAAAATATATGTTTAAAATGAACAAAGTTGTAATAAGCTCCTTGTAGTCTGGCCATTGTGATAAAAAAGCACCAGTGTCATACAGAGTTTGGAAAAAAAAAAAGGAAAAGAAAAACAGAGACACTGATAAGAAATTAGCTAAATTTTAAGCAAAGCTCTCATTTATCTCTCTTTACACCCAGAATACTTTATTTAAACAAATATTATAATGCACACTGAGCTGGCAGCCTCTACAAGACAGATGGTTAAGGGAAAAAAAAGTCTCAGTCTGACTCCCTGCTTTCTGCAGCACCTCTTAACCTAAAGCTGAGGCCAAACTGATGCTGGCACCGGTGCTGGCAGGAGGTCAGTGCTCAGCCTGCCCCCACACCCTGCGGGGAGTTCACGAGGGCCCACATTTTGCAAACGGAGCAGTGGCAAACATTCACAGAAGGTGATGCAGAGAAAGATGATAATTCAGGTGCTTCAAGCTGCCCTTTGGGGGATCTTGGCTCTTTCTCCTGGTTATGTGAAGACCATCAATGGTCTACCTTGTTACTTTACTAATTTAAGTGCCTGAAAGTACGTAGCGTGACTACTCTCCCATTCTCATAAGCCACAAGATAAATTCTCCACCCTCCAGTTAATTAAGTTCAACGTTTCCAATTTAAAAGCCCTTACTATGCATTGGGCTAGTTGTGCCACTGGTCACATTTCCTCACCTGCCCACAGCTTCCCAGTTACACCCTACCAGAATGAGAACATCTGCCTGCCAGGAAAGATCAAACCAGAGAAATCCCTACATCAGCTGCCTTCAGCATTCCAACACCCTCCACCACTTTACATTCTCACATTTTTATGTTCTATGATAGTTAATGGATGAATGTACTGAGCTTGCCCTTGAACATAATGAAAGCAAGAACAGTAATTTCTTAACCTCCTGAGCAATACTAGGTACTATGGTAGCAACTTCCAAAATCAGAACAACAAATCTGCATTTTGGTTTTTATTTTATTCTGCAGATGGGGTTGCCCCGCATACCCCAGTGATGCCCAGTCTAGCCACACTTACTTACATTATTTTAATGCTCACATCATGGATAGACCACCTATAACTATATTTTCTTATATGTGCTCTGCTCCAATAATAATGTCCAGTATTTTAGCTACTTGGAAACTTCACGAAGTCAGGAAGTGATTTTATTTATAAATATATAAATAAACCTGTCATGGAACATTCCTTAATGTCTCTGTTTCCAGTTGTTCAGACCCCATTTGCTTCTCTTGAAGGAGAAAAACCGTAACTTTCACATTGAACGCTTGTCTATAGTTGGAGGAGAAATTACAAGACAATATCTAGTGTACAGTAGGTCAACTTAACCATAACAGTCTTCCCTAGCAAAGGCACAAATGAACACATGATAATTCAGTTCAGACAGTCAGTATTGACAATTGCATTCAACAGCTTAATTGAAATACTGGCCAAATCTCACTAAAATCTGCTAACCTAGCCTTGACAATGGCTTTAAGGGTTGGGGATAAAAAGGGTCTGTGAGAAACCCTGCCAAGATCATTTCTCTTCCCCCTTCCGACAGCAACAACCCTGAAGAAAATCCCAGTGAAAGATTATTCCAGCAACTACACACAGGTTAGTAAGAGACAGTGGAGGAAATTTGCATTCAGACTCAGACGACCGCTTTCATGGCTGGCAAACTCACCAGAAGTCTCCAGGGCTCCTTCTCAATCTCTAGAATAACCAGATGCATTTACTGCCAAGGTCCGACAGCACTGCAGACTCCTCAAGGGGTACAGCAGGGTAATGGGAACTTACAAATAGCAGGTCCTGCCCCAATTATCTGCTTCATTGACATAAGCAGTCCTCAAATATGAGGCTGGATTTAGTGGGGAGGAAAGGAGGAAAAGCAGAAAATGTCTAGATAGAAATCATTTTTCAAAGGGGAAAGTTCACTGGTTTACTTCTAGGAGAGAGACAGAGAATCCATAACGCCAAGTGCCCTTTAAAAGTGCTTCACACGTTAGACCAAGTGGTTTATGATGCTCCAAAAGACCCTTTGCTGCAATTAGTTTCATGATATGCATATGCTCATATATTATTGCATACATTCATCTCTTAAATAATTTGCAGCCTTAAAATAAAGTGTTAGTCCATGCACAAAGAAAAACTACTTTAAAACAAAATAATGTAAGGAACTAAGTTCTGGTTACAGAGTTTCAGGACTTTCAGTCTTAAAAGAAACCAAATTTGTTTTCATTTTGAGATAAAGATTTTTTTTTTTTCTCTGCAGTTCACACCTACCAACCAGCTCAGCCATCAGGTCCAGGATGCACTCGTCTGCCAAAGCCCATGGGCGCTGACCATTGAAATGGCCATGAACACCTCTGAAAAGGAAGAGGCAGATGATGAAAACATAGGACTGATCCAAAGGGAACAGCATAAGAAACGTACCTGATTTGGAGATCCCACATTTGGAGAAGGGAAAAGGAGGAGATCTGCCTAAGATGAGCACAGGACTTTTACCACGCCACCAAACCTCACGGTCAACACAGTTTGTTGGTTTGGTTTCTTACAGGTTTTCAACTGCTTGAAAACTATTTATTCAGGCCCCCAAAATTCCTCTAGAAATCCCATAAAATTAGAGATGATAGCTTTTTCACAAGCTCTCTGGAAGTGGCTGCATGGATACAAGAAGCCTCCGGGAACAGGCACGCCATGAAAGGGCACAGCGGTGCCCAGTGCAGGATGGCACCCCGTAACCCTGGCTCACATAAACTACACAGAGAGCAGAGATCACCCTGCAGTTACTCCATCAGCACCTTAGCTGAACATCGTATGGTGCAGAGGATGATAGACTTGAATACTGCCTTGCTCCCAGAAAGAGAAATACTTCTTGTCAGAAACAATTTCTATCCTCCTGAATCTCCTGTCTGAACTCACCCTCCTGCATAACCCAGCAGGTACTTAATGTATATTCAGGGAAGCACCTATCCAAACAGAGCTGCTTGCAAATTTTCATTGCTTCTCTTCTCCCTGCCAAATTGTTCTAGATCTAAGTGTGCATAAAGCTTTTGGGTTTGACAGAGGGCATTTAAAAACTTTATTTTCCAAACTGTTCCTGTCTACAGTGGATCATACAGGCACCTTAAACCCAAAGGCATCACTGCTCTGAAGTGACAGATATGTACATTCCGTTCTGGATTAAGTGCTCTGAAGTAATTTTTGCTTCAAACGTGACAGCGGAGTAAACTTCTAAGGTAGTCACCATGCATATATATATATACGTATAAAGTTGCAAAGTTTCTTAAACATGCAGGATGTAGCCTACAGCAAATGCAAATGAAGGCAGATTGAGAAAAATAATAATGGTGCTAATCCAGGGGAACATTGCTCTGGGCTTCCATCTCACACTGGATGATTTTTGTATTTGCCATGGGGTACTTGTAGAGTTGGAAATGCCAGGCAGCCTGTGACTGAGGCAAACCAAGTATAAAGCTGTTTCAGAACAGGGACAAAACCAGTAGAAAACTGGGTAGAGACAAAAAAAAAAAAAATGTGATGAGAGAAAAAAAAAAAAAAAAAAAAAAAAAAAAGAACGAGTAATAAACCTTTTAAAGCAGAACTGGCATACAACATTCACTCAAAATCATGAGAAGACATCGTGGCAGATTAAGACATGAGAAAAGAGGGTGTATGAGACACTACCAGCTAGTCCCCCATGCCTAAGGCTATTTAAAAGATTGGTTTTCCCTATCCATCTCCTACTTTCCCTTCTCAGGTAGAATTTTTTTCTGTCTCCCACACAAATTACCTGGATGCTTTATAGTCAGATGCTTTCTGATTGACTTGGGTCTAATGCACGCCTCCTAGGGAAATTTCCAAAAGAACCACAGTCCTAAAGAAAAGAAGAACTGCTGCAAAAAGCATGATTTGTATTAACTGTTTCAGGGCTCTTATCTTTGCAAAACACCATTTGCTTTTGGACTCATTTAGGTAAACAGCTGAAGGAGGGCACAGGTACAACTGGACATCTCTTACAGATATAACCACCTCCCTGCATTCAACAAGTCCAACCCCACACAGGCGAGGAGGAGGACCCTGATCCCTAATTCAGATAAGGTCATGGCACACTAGCTGACTGCTTCTCGCCGTTTTAGAATTGCTCTCTGATGAGACCTCGATAGCAGAGAGCGGGCGGTGTGAAATAGCACTCATTTACAAGAACATTTCATAGATGAGGAATAAAGGCAGTAGGTGGGTAGGGGAGAAAATGTGGTAAGGGGCAGGATTAGCGCTGAAAGTTCCTCCCTTCCATGAGACTATAATGCAGCTGCTTTCCCTGAAGACAGTGGTATGTGTTTCACAAACAGCAAGACATTTATTGCTAATTTCCCTTCTTATTCTTAACCGTAATATAGCGATCAAGGGACTTTGAGGTAATACAGACTGTTAAAATAAAAAAAATCCAAAGGTTTTCCGTGGCTCCCAGCCCAAGGGGATCTGTATTTCTGAAAGAGGATAGCAAACATAATAAGATGGGAAAAAGAAGACCTAACTACCTATGGGATTCTCTTTTATTAGCTTTCTCTGATTTTATAGCCATTAGTGTCCTTCTAATGGGAATTTACTGATGAAAGCTCTCTCTACCAGCATACAGGACTAACAAAATTTCAGAATAAATTTCCAAGTTATCATGAAAACAGATATGAGATTTTGAGCATGACAATATTTTATTTTGAGAAGAAAACATGGAAATTCAAGTATATTAAAAGAGGGGAGAGGCAGCATTAATAATAATAATAATTATTATTATTATTATGGCACATCTTCCAGCTTGCCTCCCTCTTGATGGCAAATATAAATGCCACAAGACAAATTATTGCAGCTAAAATGGTAGTTAAAGGCATATTCTTGGACCCTTTTTTTTATTTTAATTACATGAAACTCTGTAGCCTTTGCTGATGGCACAATACATCCTATTACACTTAGGTTGTAAAATTCTATGCTCTGCCTGAGAGAATTTATATCTCTGTATATTATGCCACCCCTCTCTCAGCTCTGGTAGGCACTGGGGGTAATAATCTTTAAGGACACAACTGCAGAGCTTCTGGCATTCCCCTCAGACATGGACAGCCTACGTCTCGTTTTTTTTCCTCTGCACCCTAGGTAGCAAGAGGGAGATTTAAATTGTGGTACCCAAATTAATGAATACAACACACAGCCTGGAAAATCATAACACATCACACAAACAGAATTATTTCTTAAACTACTGTGAGAGTTCCTCATTGTGCAAATTAATTTTTAGTCGGTTACCATTTTATTTTCAATTTGGCAAGAAATCACAGTGCCACATTTTATTCGCTGAGGTCTGGTTGATTTAAAGCTCGCTAGGGGAGCTAGAAACACATTTTCTGATATGATCCCAGGGTTTCAAAGGAGATAACAAAAGGGATTTAAATTAATTGCCAGCTTCAGGAATCTTCTGCGCTCATCCAAATCTTGTTCAAGTGGAAATTTCCTTCTTGTTTCTTTGCCAAAAATGATGCAAGGTATTTAATGAGCCAATACAGACTCTTTAGTTTGATGGTGGTTTCAAGCAAAGAAATAGCCAAAAGAAGGGAAGACATATCCAAAGAAAAAGAACTGTATGGAGCAGTAGATTGAAGGCAAACCTAAAAAAACCCAGGGCATTAAACCAGGCATTTACCGCTCTAACATACAACCTGCTGAAGGGTACAACGCAGAGATGACTCCTGCCGAATGGCAGAAGTAGCGAGTTCATCAAACAGAATATGCCCAAGCTCCACCAAGGCGCACTGCTGCTTGCAGGGCTGTTCTAGCCTGCAGGATGAGTTCAGCACACAGAACCAAAGATGCCTTTTGATTCACTGAAAACTGTCCCTTGCTACTGCAGGTGCTATATTATAAAACCCACCACAGACTTGGGGTTTTTTGTCAGAAGCCTGTTGCCAGACTACTTCAGTGTTTAAAAGTATATATACATATGTAGTTTCTAGGCTAGGTTTATGAATTCCTAGCTTATATTTATTGTTCCAACATGTTATTTCATGTAAGTGGCTCCTTCCCCCCGCCCCATGTTTACTCCTTGATACATTCACAGAGAACTATAATTTCTCCTTTCAGCCTTCATTTTGCTCCACTAACCAACTCTAATCCTCAAGACTTCCATTCAGCAGGTTCTCCACTCCCCAGTCACCCTACCAGCCCTTCACAAGGGCGTAACAACTGACTACAGCAGACACCTTTCTGTTTTCATGGTTCCACTTTAATGGGTTATTCAGATGTGAGAGACATTGCCTTCTGCAATGAGTATGTTCGCATGCAATAATGATTTTATAAATTACATTAATTGCTTAAAATGTTGTGGTGGGGGAAAAGGAAAACAAGACACTGCAAAACACCTATTGGCCTTTATCCAGCCAAACAAGTCACTTGAACCTTGGTCTTTTAGATTTCAAAAAAAATGGATTATTGGCTACTCTAGGCTAAGGTAAGCATGGAAGAGAAAACTCTTCATCCCTTTTTGACCCTCATTCAATAAATCTTGGGTTTAGCTGAAATCAAACCAGGAAGAAAGATGAAGTCTCAAAGGCTCTTTTTTAATCCATATTAAGAATGCCAGTGGCTTGAATTTGTAATCTTTATACATTAGCATAAAAAGAGAGGACTGAGGAATGTGGAAAAAAAGAATAACAAAGCAGAACAAGTATGTGGGAGGCAGATATAAGAGAAGAAAGCTATAACCCACCTTTTAAAGGGGTGGGGGGGGGAGAAGGGACAGTGACACTGTAAAGGAAACACAAGAAAGAAATGCATGAAAAAGCTTCTTCCTCTCCAGGCCTTACTCTAATGAGTTGCCATCACCGCGCAGAGCTAAAGCTATGAGCTTCCCTGCCCTTGACAACAGCTACCAGTAATCTTCCTTTTCACTCTTGCCATCAGCTATAAGCAGCGAAAACCATTTAAACAGACAAGTATAGTAGCTATTTGAGATGAGTCCCAAGACACAACAAACAGAAAATGCGATAAAACAATTTATAAGAGAGCCAGAATCTATATCATTGCTGACTTGAAGGATGCACCTAATTTGCATGCCATTTCTTAGATTCTCGCTACTTATTTATCTAAGCTACAGACACTAAATTCCATGCTGCCAACACACAAGATCAGCTTCGGCTGGTAACAGCTACTACCTTAGACTGGATTTTGCTAAGCTCTCCTTGGTGACTGGAATAAAAGCATCCATTTCTGCATCTCCAACCACCTTTGCAGCCCCCAGCACCCGACCCTGCCCATCAGCCTCTTTAAGCATAACTTGTTCTGTTCAAATTTAGCTTGACCTCATCCTGCCTTTGCCAGTTGCCTTAGGTGCACCTGCAGCTAGCAGGATTTTGTTGAGTTTAGTTTTTGTTGTGCTTTGGTTTGGGTTTTTTTTTTTTAAAAAAAAAAAAAAAAAAAAAAACAAACCACTTTCTGATTTATTCTGGCTAAGGTGTTTAGGGCCAAGCTGTATTTTTGGCAAACGGTCTTTTTTTTTGCTCCCTCTCTTCCAAGGGCTTGCAATCACGTTCAGCCATATTTCCCCCTTAGGTACAGCTACTGAAGATACTTTTGATCTTCTGGAGAAACATGCTGCCTACCTGTTTCTTTCAGATTTTTATAATCATTTAAAATCCTTTGCTCTAGCAAAGACAACCATAAGAATGGAAGCCAACCAATGAAAAAGTACAGTGAAGGAGCTGAAATATATTTGCGCTCCCAGTGCATCACTAACAGATAAGAGTGCTATCTGACTTCTACCTTTCGAAAGAGCTCAGCTGTTTCCCTGATAAAGTACGATAATCATACAGAAATGGACACGGTTGCAATTTTTTCAAATGACTGGAGAAACTGCAGCATTGCGCTGAATGAATAACTAGAAGGAACGAGTACTTCCCAAAGTTCACATTCATTCCCATTCATTCTCAATCTTCTTCTCACTTAGAAGAATGCAAGTAATAAATAGGAAACAGTAAACTATTTTTATTAATGCACAGCATTCCCATATTAAAAAGTGAAACAGCAGCTACAGAGGTTTCACATTTACATTGTGAAGCCTCCATCTACAGCCTTTCTACTGAAACAAGGCTGCCCGGTTAGCAGAATTAGCTTTTCCTCTTCTGCCTCCCCATATTCCCTCTGCTCTCTCACCATGAAATCACATCAGTTCCACTCATACCCCGCACCTTATAAAAGTGTTCATCTTTTTTCCAGCTTGCTCACTCATCTGGATGTCATTTTCCTTTCCCATCTTCAGCTCCCTGATTTTTACTTATCTTTTTTCTTACTCCTCCCTGGCCCAGCTGCTCAGGTAGGTGCTGGACATCTCAAAGCACAGACTCGCCATGGAAACAAAGTATAATAGAAGAAAAAAAAGAAAAAAAAAAAGTTTTTTTCCTCCCCCATGTACCTAAAAGTTTCCCATCTGTTATGATGACAATGCCCCTTTCCCTGCAATGCTGAAATGTGTCCCTCTTTTGTCCTCCCGTCTCTCCTACATGAGCTCCGTTTGGCAGAACTCACTGCCATCCACCCTCAGCTCCTCACTGAGATGCTCCTGAGAAGACAGGAATGCTTCTTTCTAAATAGAATGAACTTGTCAGGCAGAGACCTGGTTTAAGAGGAGCCAAAAACCTGCCAGCGCTGGCAGCAGCACCACCTGCGCTCGGTGCTATTTCAAGGGGAACTGCCCATTGCAAGGCCTGCTGGGCCAATCACACAGTTAAAAATACTAATTAGAAAATGACATGGCCTTAAACTTAATCATGTTCACCAGCAAGCAGCAGCAAACAAATGAGTTTTTGTGTCTTGTGTATAAACACACATAGCAATTGGATGGGGATGATTAAACCGTGCAGGTCCTCCAGATGAGCCACCACACGCAGCATGGGTTATCAGAGCTGGAAGTTTCTCTTTGCCTGTTTTACTGCTCGTGCTTTTAAAGGAGATTTAAATAGTGCTAGGGAAACACTGAACATGTTTTACTCCTGGGCTGTAGTGGTTTTAACACACTATTCTTCTATTCAAGTATTTTCAAGGCAGATCCAAAAAAACACCCTGAAGTGCTCATCTGAAGCATGGGTTAGCATCTCACATACTCTGCTGTGTACTCACGTTCGAGCCCACTTGTCCAGTTCTTCATCCAAGTAAGTTTTAACTTTTCTTGGCTGGAGCCCGAGAGAATTCCCAGCAAAGTATACGCAGCTCTCCTCCCCGTTCACCAGGCTCAGATCAGCTGCAGAGGAGAACCACAGAAACCACAGGCACATGGGAGTTAGCACCGGAGGGACAGCACACACGTGTGCCAATACCCAGAGCTCTGCCCGTTCTGGAGCTCCCTCGGACACCACAGTCCCCACGCACGGAGGTGCCTCATCCTGACCTTCCTCCCAGCACACCGTGGAGGTGACCCACCTAAGGAGGAGGACAGCCAGGCAATTTGCAAGCAATTATTCCCCTCGTCCTCCTGCAATTTTTGGCTGAATCCATCTATACCTGTTCTGGAGCTAATGTGAGTTCAGGCAGCATTAAACCCCCAGGTCTCTGGGGCTGTGTGGGAAGCAGCCACTGGCACAGATTTTGTCAGGTCTGTAACCAACGGTGAATGAAGAGGGAGCGTTTTCCTGACCAGGCTATCCACTTTCCTCCCATCATCAATAAATTCCTGCTCCAAGTCGTGAAACTACTTGAGTCGTGCATTTAATAAAAGTTAAGACTAGGTAAATCTGTGTCTTTCATGTAAGTTCTCCCTGCATGATTAAATCGCTATTTAGAAAAATGTAGTCATGGCACAGAATATTTTAAGGCAGTCTCCGAAGTTCTTGTCTTGTCAGCATATATTGTGGGCCGCACTTCATGTCATCATCATCTGAGGAGGAAGAAATCTATGTTGACAAATCCTTTCAATGATTAGGAGAAAAGCAAGGCGGTAGAAATTTATAAATAATAGCTCTGGTGAGGTTCTGAACAATCTAATTACCGCGTGTCATCATCTATCAATCCAAACATTGCCTTTTTCTATTATTTCTCATGTTAGAGATTCTTGGAGGGACAAGTGATGGCGACCTTCTAGAAGTAGTAAGTAATTTGCATTCATCTATACATATACTTACAATACCCCAAAAGCTAACATTACATGTATTTTTGGTAAATATAGTCAATATTCTTCAGAAAAGAGATCAAATGAATGAATCTATTGAGATACATACTAAAACTGAATAATAAGATTACATTTCTGTTTGAAAAATTTTATGTTAGGGCTGTAGAGAAATAGATTAGATGCCTGGAAAAGGTTTCTTACCACCTTTTGCACTAACGATTACCAACTTCATTGAACTTCACCAGAAACACATTTTTCAGAAGTATAGACAACTTGGGTAATTTCTTAATTAAAGCTTTAGAAGCTTTTAAAAAGCATAAGTCAGAGAGCAATTTCAGCCTAATCTGTTTTACAGATACCATGTCTGGTTTTCATCTGTGTTCTAATAGGAATGAAAACAGAGAGGCATAAATATTATCCATGTTCCTAAACTGGTTCTAGCATCCGTTCTTTTCTGATCAAGAAACACAATAATACTGACTCATTGGGAATAGAGAGAAGGATCTTTGCTCAAGAATTTGAAGCTCAGTCTCACTAATACTCTTTATACTCCAATCAAGCCTTAAAACAAGTAAAGGTTTATAAGCAAGTTAGCTTTTCTTGCAACACAGTCCTTTCTACATAAAAACACCTCTTGGGTCACCGTTGGAGAGAGGTGGCATTACCACTTGTGTATTTTTCTACTTTTACACCTGTTACTTTGGATATTTTTTTTTTTTTTACATTGTCAACTCTGCACTGTGCTGTATCCTTCTCCTTTGCACAAAAAGCCATTTACCTTCCCCTCTCCAACATCATTAAAAGACTCATTTTGGGCCACTGCTGCTTCCCAAACTAGGCTTGTGTTTTGCAACATCTTTGTCATTTCACAGCTTCTCCCGATCAGCGCACCGTTGTGCTCCAACATTTCCTCGGTCACTGTGATGCTCTTTACAGTAACACATTTGTTTTCTTAAGACTAGCACTTGCCTTTCCCCAAATTACTCTACCCTCATTTCTCACACTATTGGCCTTATTTATTTTTGGAGGAGCTGTGGTTGTCATGCAATATATATTGAAATATTTAGATAGGAAATAAGCACAACGGATGAAATAAAGGCTAGTGCAAATCAAACAGGAGTTCATTACTGAAATGTGTCCTTAGAGTAGCCCGAATAAAAAAAATACATGAACAGTAATTTCCATTAAGATTAATTGGATATAAATTATTCTCACAACTACTCAGATTCACACAAACTAGTCAGATCTACTGATGTACGCTATTTTGCAAACTAAATATACCCATTCCTCTACATTAAAGTTTAATTTCTATACCTTTTAAACCTTAAAGAAAAACCAAGTATATTTTTAGAAATGTTCATTCCAAACAAAGGGGAAAAATACATCGTCTTTATTAACCAGAAAGGAAGGACTAAACCTGTTTATACATTACCTGAGTCCTATCCCTTGTTGAAGGATGAAGGATCACCTCTTTCACACCTCCCTATAACCCCCTCACAAGCCATCCAAACAAAAAGTCAGATTTATAAGATTAACCACTACCTTCAACCATCTCTTCAGGGAAATATAGCTCAACGCTTTCACTCTGGGACATCTTTTTATTCCCAGAAAACCCAAATGATGCTCTATTCCTTTACTAGATGACAAAGCACAAGCCGTAGCCTTAATCAGATTGGTGATTTGGCACCCGACTGCCAACTGCAATCCAGTCATTCCTACCTCCCCGCAGCGCACAAAAAAGCATTAAAGAGACTTTGTTGTCATCTCGGAGAAGAGTGACGAGATCCAAACATTTCTCTAAATCTGCTGCTGTCATCTTTTCCTATTTGCTCACCTGAGCCTCCTCCCTCCTGTTTGCACAAGAAAAACAGGAAGATTTGCCAGGGACTTAGTCTGCTAGTTCTTTCCACTTGATCCATCTAACAAATAAACAGCTGTGACAGTTTATAAGTTGATGACTAAATTAAAGTATTATAATGACTTTCTAAAGATTTTTATGTACGCAATCTTACAATTGTCTCCTATAGATGTTCTCATCTATTTCTTGTAAGGCTTCATTTTAAAGCCTCATTGTAATGTTTTATGTAAATGTATAAAGAATATTTGATAGCTAATATCTGTAATGACATTTATCTTCAGAAGCACGTTATCTAGGATCCGCTCCTGTGCTCAGATAAATGTCAGGGGAGATCTGTCTCTATCATATAGAGAAACAATGTAAATATACATATACTTACACCCCTGCTGTTTTTCAGCGGGGAAGCTGTTCCTGATGACAGCTGAAGCACAGAAAAGAGAGACAGGGGGAAAAGAGGGGGAAGAAACTCCTCAGCTTGGGAACACAAGAATGATGGGTTCTCTGTGCTGTTCAACTGGTACTACTATGTAGGCTGCTTATCTTCAATAAAACATATATATCCAGAGTCTCAGGACTAAATATTATAGTAACGGGGCGGGGGGGATGGGGAAATACATCAGCAGTCTTTGAGTCGAAATATTATGGTAATTGATAAACAAATGATAATGGAGGTTAGAAGGGAAGCAATTAAAACTATGACAGGGGTATCAAAACCTCTGCATGCTTCTCAGAAGATTCTTTAATCTGAAGCCGCCAAGACACTACACTGCAAAGTGACCTTTTATATTCCTGAGAGACATTTCACATGCTGCAGCCAAAGACGGGGCTGCCGTGCGGGTACTCTAGTTGAGCTGGATTTCAGTGGCACAGCCAGATTAAGGGCAGCAGCACAACAGCCATGTGAGCTGCTTTCCAGCATCTTCCCAGCTTCAGAGAGACATTTTGCAGCAGCACGGTGGCAGCTGAAATGGCTTTGAGTACAGAACAGTCATACCCAAACAAACAGATGGGGTTTAAGAAACGCTCTTAAGCAGCCAGAGTGAAAAAGATTTTAAAAAAAAAAAAAAAAAAAAAAAAAAAAGACTTCTTGGCAGACAGGCTGAGAACACCTCCTCCAAGCAAAGGAAGAACATAGTTTAAATATTTGTAAAGTGTCCAGTTCTGCTCTGAACAATATAAATAGCAGAGCTTAAGGATTTAAATGTGGGGAAAGATAAGCCAATACCACCAGTACATGGAGAACTAAGATTTATCATCCTCACGTCCTAAGGACAGGAGCAGACTGCATTCCCAACATTCATCATCTCTAGGCAGAAAGATACCAAAGACAAAGATATTTTCAAAAGATGTCCAGGAATTCAGACAACTGATACTATTTTCTATCACAGATCTTTACTGGACATAATTTGGTGAATGTTCCTGTAATTTTTCATGTACCATTAGTACAGAAGAAAAAATCTGCAGAAAATTGTATCTGCATTTATTGGAAAATGAAAATATTTTGCAACAAAGTTCTATGATATTTTTTCCTTTAATTTTTAATAGATGATTTCTGCCAAGAGAGTAAAGGAGGAGAATGACTATGCCTACATATGTTCACCGTCCAAGGAAATAATATGCCATTTCTTCAGCTTCCAGTGTGCGATGACCAGAGCAGGGACAGCTTTTGCTCCCTATGTATTTGACCTGTGAGCTGAAAATAAACCCAAGAGCCCAGGACCATGGTGGGTGCTCCCACCAGGTTTCCCTGCCTGATTTTGGCCAGACACAACAGCAGTAGCGGGTACAAAAAAAACACGTGGAAATGTTTTGTTCTTTCACTGGGCTAGGAGCGCTAACTGGAAGCAAAAGCTTCCCTCTTGGCTTGCCAGCCCTTCTGCACGGCTTCCCTGCCTGCACACCAGGGGCAAACCAATCACGGGTACCCCTGCCCAGGCATGCCACAGACTCCTCAAAACAACCTACAGACCAGGAACGAAGCAGAAAAAAAATTTGAGAACCATTTTGCATGGTTACATTGAAGCCATGTGCAGCTATCTATTTGTAGGCAATTCATGAAGGAAGTGGGAAAGATCTTTAAATAAAAGGTTTCATTATGAATTATTTGCTCAGATCAATTATTTGTTCTAAGGCACAGTCTTTCATTTGGCCTCAGGAGGAAAATCATCTCTACCACTAGCAAAAAGGCATAAATGTTAATATAATATATGTACCATCTCTTTCATTAACTAAAATAATTACAACTAGATAGCTAATACCAAACTATATTATACCAAGGAAACAACTACTCCAAACTATTGTAAGCTGCATTGCCGTTTCAAACCATTAGATAGAAATGCTTCTGCCTATAATTTTCAATCAGTCACTATATTGTTCAAAGCAGCTGACTGACAGCATAAGCACCATGTAAGTACTGTATCCTCGCATTTTATTCAGGATGGGAATGAGAGCATAAAGATTTTGGTGCTAGAATAAGTTGATGGATTGATTTAGCATCAGGGACATACTGTGCTCAGATACGACTGCAATTGCTCAATTATCTCATAAGTGACAATGATTCCAAAGATCTGTGATAAACACTGCAGAAGATGTAAAGCCCCACCCTTCCCCCCCCCTCATTCCCCCACTGTAATTATAATTCTCACTTGGAGGCAGATCCTTGACTTTTGGGATACAGAAACATTCACGAAGATGCTTTAACTCATCTTCTTCATCTAAGTGAAAAGCAAGTTTCTTGTCTGCGGGACTGCATCCTAGCCGCAAGGCAGTTTGCTCTAAAATGGTTGCTGGTAACGCAGAAGATGGATCCATTTTCAGGTCATTCAATTTCACCTTAAAAAGAAAAATGCCACAGTTCAGCTGCTGTAGCATGCATATTCACGAGTGGCTGATAAGCAGCCACTAAAGCTCAATCATTCAAGACCCAAACTTACTTGATGTAAAGCTTTTAAAAAGTGAAGTATTTGAATTGAATGGTAAAACTGATCAATTCAAGTATTTCCAAGGCAACATATTGCTGTAACCCCAAAGGCTTCCCCCCCCCCCCATAGATATGATGTTCTTCCCTTTTTAAGCTACATCAGCAGCTTCTAAGTTCTCCCAGCAGACCAACAGCAGTTACAAATGCTGAAGTGCCATTCACAATTTTGAGATGTCAAAGCCAGAGGCAGCATTATTGTTTCCACAGTCTGTGCTCAGCTACACTGAAGTTGTTTCCAGGCTGTGCAACATTCAACCTCCTTCAGCTTTTCTTCCTTAAAAATAGGAGTGGGTGTTTGTGTACAGCTGTGCTCACGCACAAGGGCAGAGCAGGCAGGATACAGACAGCAGACAAAGGCATCATTAGAAATGTAGCCCTCAAGACTGGGATCTTGAGTGAGTATTTCTTTCTAGCTACACCAAATATCTTAGAATCATAGAATGTTTTGGGTTAGAAGGCACCCCTAGAGGTCACCTAGCCCAACCCCCCTGCAGGGAGCAGGGACATCTTTAACCAGATCAGGTTGCTCAGAGCCCCGTCCAACCTGGCCTTGAATGTTTCCAGGGCCTCCACCACCTCTCTGGGAAACCTGTTCCAGTGTTTCACCACCCTCATTGTAAAGAATTTCTTCCTTAGATCCAGTCTAAACCTACCCTGGTTTAGTCCTGTCACAGCTGGCCCCGCTAAAAAGACTTGCCCCATCTTTCCTATGGGCCCCCTTTAAGCACTGAACGGCCGCACTCAGCTCTGCCCGCAGCCTTCTCTTCTCCAGGCTGAACAACCCCAACTCTCTCAGCTTGGCCTCATAGGAGAGGGGCTCCAGCCCTTGGATCATTTTTGTATCTTGGTATTTGAGCTCCATTTGTCCTGGGAAAGGAGAGAAGCCTGAGTCAAGCTGCAAACATGACAGACCATAGTTTCTAACAGAATATCCAAAAGGGTACCTGCAAAATTTACAAGCTCATTGATCTTTATAAGAATAATTCTGTAACTGTAATGCTCAGAAACACCATCATGTTCAAGATAACATTTGTGCACTTGGCTTTACAGACCTATTGGCAAAGAAAATTTAGAACACGCACTCTGTACTTCAGGGCAAAACTTTGCCAGTGGTGCCTGCCAGTGGGGTAAAGTCAAAGACTTTCCAGATTCCTTCCAGCCCCATATTCTGAAATTCTGCGATTCTCTGAAATAATGAGTTTCATTGCCTTTTAAAAAGAAAAATTAACTACTCCTAGGTCTTTTAATTATGATGGGTCAGGCATTGACAAAATTATGAGAATCTATCCCCTCTAGTATCTCCCCTATGAGGAAAGGCTGAGGGAGCTGGGCTTGTTTAGCCTGAAGAAGAGACAACTGAGAGGGGACCTCATCAATACATACAAATATCTTAAGGGTGGATGTCACAAGGACAGAGCCAGACTCTTCTCAGTGGTGCCCAGTGACAGGACAAGGGGCAATAGGCACAAACTGAAACATAAGAGGTTTCAGTTGAATATGAGGAAGAACTTCTTGACTTTGAGGGTGACAGAGCACTGGAACAGGCTGCCCGGGGGGCTGTGGAGTCTCCTTCTCTAGAGATAATCCAAAACCTGCCTGGACAATGTCCTGTGCACCCTGCTCTGGGTGAGCCTGCTTGAGCAGGGGGGTGGGACTGGGTGATCTCCCAAGGTCCCTTCTAACCCTTACCATTCTGTGATTCTGTGCAGTGAAGAGGCTCACTGAGGTACTTGGTGGTTTCCCCAGTTTAGGGTGCTGTATAGTTAAACCACACAATATTCTCTGCCTTTTTAAACATCCCCAAGAATTTTGGTGCAACCAAAAAAAACTCCAGGGGCTAGGCAGAAATAGGACAAGATTAGCACGTAATATTCAGCATAGGGCCACCAGAGAATATAGCTTTTTCCTCTCTGTTTGAGAAAGAAAACATTAAGTATGTATCTTCCACAAGTACCCGCTCTCTTTTCTTAAACCCAATAATAGTTAGTTATCTAGAAACAAGCTGTGGAGAGAGCAACAGGTTATTATATGGGTTGTAGCCAGCTGAGCATTACATTCAATGTCACTTAACCTAGCTCCAGTTTTTGTAGGAAAGGGGTTCTGAGAGTGTGACAGTATGCTCCATATTACAGATTTTTTTTAAAATTCAATACCTTATGACACATTTTTTTCTTTATTCTTTTCGGTAAAAATACATAAACGCAGATTATGGGGGTTTTATCACATTTTTATACCAATCCCTGAAGACCATCCAGAATAGCTTCATCGAGGCATATGGGAAGGACAACAGTTGGTCTTTAAACATAAACCCCTAAATAGCACAGCCTCATTAGTGTCAATTAATCCAAACCTGTTTCTACTCTAGCCAAATGGCCAGCATGATGCTAGTTACCTGGTTTAATTTGCTGTCATTTAGTTTATGGTGACAACATTTTCTTTTTCCCCTCCAGACTTGATATCTTACACAGTAGCAATTTTTCCTCTCTCACCAGCATGTAGAGTTGTAAAAAAAAAAAAAAAAAAAAAAGCCGGTCAAGCTCTTTAAGACAGCAGTTTCCATTTAGCAAATGTTCACCCTCTCCTGAGAGGTATTGCAGATCTCCTGGTTTTGTGCTGTCTCCACACAGGTTGTTCACACCTCCCTCATTGTCATTTACCATTCATTCATCCCAATCATTCCTTAGCTGGTAAAAAGGAAAATAAAATGGCAAAAATTGTTTAAAAAAAAGACATTTGAAAAATTTTGTTCTCAGAGTGTTTTTCAAGGCTTCTAGGAGGCAGAAGGCTACAGCTAGGGAAATAGTCGGGTGTGATGCTAAAGCGGCTGAGCTGGCTGGAATCAATACACCCAACCAGCCACCTCCTGAGGAGCTGTTACCCACTGAGAGCCCCATGAGAGATGTGACCAGGCTCCCTATTCCCCAAGGAACCACTTCTCAGTTTCTCTATAGCCAAACAGCAGATCCAAGACCTTGCTTCTGTCATCTCCCCTGCTGGGTGCTCTTCTGCAGGTCAGATGGGTACAGACTTTCTGGACCTCATTTGGCAGTCATCAGGGAGGATGGCTTAGAAATCTTTATTTTCTCCAGTAGATGTTGTGAAACATCTAGAAAAGCAAGCTAAATTCATGGGCACTGTGGCCATCACTAATACAAGCACTTCATAATCTAGAGACTCTGTAAGATAACTTAAGTTTCACTTCTCCAAATTCTAAATGTTAAGAATCCATGGGCTTAATCAGTAAATCAGGGTTCATTTTCAAGCAATATTGGGATCAGAGTTTGGAAAGTAAAACTATTTTTGTTTCCAAAGGCTTATTTCTTTGATTTACAACAGCAACATGGGTGCCCTGATCCCATAGGCACTATCAAAGCATGTCTAGTACATACTCACATAATCCAGGTATGGTCTTCTATTTTTAATAACGAGTATTTAATGCAAATTATGGAAACAATCCTTGCAGAAGGGGCTAGAAATCAAGTCTCCCTGACCATCTCCTTCCAGATAAAAGGACCACACAGTAGTCTGTGTTGTCTTTTCTACACAATCAGCCTCCTTCCCACTCAAGTGAATGCCTGGATTTCTTTTTGCTCCCCAGTGACATAGCTCCTGAAGTAAGGGAAGGAGCCCTTTAATCTCGCTAAACAGATGACTCGCTTGAGTTAGCGATATTTATTCTGTGATGCTCAACTCCCCCAGTCCCTAGGAGGGGGACTGTGCAGCATTGGTATTGCCATCACCTGTGTCCTCTCCTGGATGCAGCCTATGAGGAAGGTTTGGGATTCTCCAACGTTTATCTTCTGGGGCTGACACAGACAGTGCCAGTTAATTCCCTTGCAGTTTATGATCAAGAGATGGATGATAAGGGTGCCTGGAGGACAGTTTGGTTTTATACACCAGATCCCTCTCATCTGGTCTGTAGATGCTCTGCTTTACACCATGTGAACACAGCACAGCATCCTCCCATTTGTCTTACTAGTCACCATTTTTCAGTAAGGACACACAGTTATTACAGTGGATTAATGGCTATCATATTCCAGGTCATCTGCTGACCTGTCTGGCAAGCATAGATGGGTTTTGTTTCCATTTGAGGCCTGACCCAAAACCCACTGAAGTCAATAGGTGTCTCTATTACAGATAAAGATTTCTGGATCAGGCTTTTTGTTCCCTGTCATTGCTGCAGCTTGCTGCATCTGATCAATGACTTTCGTTTATTATGATTCTTATTTATATTAAATTTTGACAGCAAATATAATATTAAATACAAAGATCTAGAAGCCAAAAATGATTAAGTGCTCAGAGGTATCTGATTTAATACAAACATTATGAAATAAGATAAAACTACTAAAATAAAATCAATCAAAATCCTATTGAGGAATGAAATCCCAGAGATCCAAGCCTGAGACCAGAATAAGAAAATACTTTTGTCCTTTAAATGGGAATTAGGCTTCATAGAGAGGGAATCCCAGAAATGCCTGGGTATTTTTTTTTTTTTTCTCCACTCTGACTGGCATTATTGTATTTTCTAATTGCTGCAGAATAGAGTCCCATGCAATTATTTTACAATAGTTCATGAACCATTTGTTATTTTCTATATGTAAAGAAATAAATTGGTATAAGAACAACACACCTTTATTCCATCCAATTATTCTCATTTAACTGAAAACTATATTCTGTATCCTCTTCAAATCAAAATTCAGAGCCATCGGTGCAAAATGTAATTCTCACTTTGATAAACGTAGTTCCTTATCAGGAGTTTTTTCATATATCTTAGAGCCAAAATAATCAACATTTTAAGATAAACAATTTGCCTCCACTATCTACTCTGGAAAGAGCACTCAGATGT